ACACACATAGACTGAAAGTGAAGGAATAGAAAAAGTCATTTTATGCAACTAGGAACCCCAATTGGTGCCTTTATATCTGACAAAATAGCCTACAATTCAAAGACCATAAAACAAGACTAATAAGGTCATTATATAATGATAAATGGGTCGATTTAGCAAGAGTATATAACAATTATAAATATCTATGCATTCAACATTGGCACTCCCAAGTATATAAAGCAAGCATTAATATATCTAAAGGGAGAGATAGACTGCAATACAACAATAGTCAGGACTTCAACACTCCACTCTCAGCAATGGACAGATTATCTAGACAATTAAATTACACACTGGACCAAATAGGACTAACTAACATTTACCGAACATTTCACCCAACTGCTGCAGGATACCGTCTTTTCAAATTATATGAATGTGGTTGGGTGCTGTGGCTCGCATCTGTAATCCCAGTGCTTTGGGAAGCCAAGGCAAAAGGATTGCTGGAGTCCAGGAGATCAAGGTAAATTATATAATGCAAAAAATTATCACATGTACCCTGAAAATATATGCATCCTTTATGTATCAATTAAAAAATACTGAATCCTATGGTCATGTGCATATTGCTCTGCCTCCTTTGTAGGAAAGTAGGTCACATGGTCTACTGTGATGTTATGTGCAATCCCACGTTGGTGGCAAGCTCATACTCAGAATGTACGCCAGTTTCAATCAAGGCAAATAGTTGTCCCTTCCAGGGTGAAGTGAAAGGGATACAATTTAATAAACTGTGACAAAGTAGTTGGTTGGTCTCTTCATGGTATGGTATCGTAGGCATATATCACATATCTTTAAGTTATTATAGTCTACCTGCAATATATAGTATATAGCCCATGAAAATTATAAAAATCTTTCAGCAGTATATTTCATTTCTTCCCTCCTGGACATTGTGCTATTGCTATTATTCATTTAACTTCTTTATATGTCATAAACTGCACACTCCACTGTTATTATTTTTGTTTAAGCTATCAATTATTATTTTAAGAAATTTAAATAATAAGAAAAAAAATCTATATTTACCCATTCAATTGCCATTTCTCAATTCTTTAAATACCAAATTGCCTATTAATATCATTTGGCTTCTGCTTTAAGAATTTTCTTTACATTTCTTATAACACAGGTCTGCTGGTGATGGATTATTTAAGCTTTTGTGTATATAAAAAAAGTCTTTATTTTTGCCTTTATTTTTGAAACTGTATTTGCTAGATTATGAAGTCCAGGTTTAAAGTTGATAAGCTTTTTTTTCTTTCAATGCATTTTAAATGTTGCTCCATTGTCTTCTTGTTTGCATTGTTTCTAGGGAGAAATCTGCTGTCATGCTTATATTTATTCCTTGGCACATGACTTTTTTTCCTCTATCTGCTTTAAAATTTTTCTCTTTATCATTAGCTTTAAACAATTTGCTTATAATATGGCTTGGAGTCGTTTTCTTTCTTTCTTTTTGTTTTTCATGTACTTGGGTTCATTGAGATTTTTTTTTAAAAAAATCTGTTGATATATAGTGCTTATCAAATTTGGACATTTTGGGGCCATTATTTTGTTCAAAATTTTATCATAAAGAGTGATCAACTAAATTCCAGCACCTTCTGACAGGTAACTACAATTGCCCACCTGATAACTTTTATCCCTTTTTCCTTGTTAACAGAGCCTCAGTTTTGTTTGGATTTGAATTTTCCAAGCCTCAGAGAATGCAATCGTTTTTTCCATGTCATGGAGGGAGGGGAAAGGCAGTTTTATTACTTTTTGCTGGTAATTTAATCAAGGTGTGGTCATGTAACCCAGTCTTCTGGGGATTTCCTGGAAAATATTTTCTCCCAGAAAACATAAAGCTGGTGATAAGACAATGTTTTATTCTTTTTTTTTTTTTGAGTTGGAGTCTCACTCTGTCTCCCAGACTGGAGTGCAGTGGCTGGAGAGCAGTGGCACTCCACCACAGCCTCGACCTGCTGGGCTCCAGTGATCCTTCCACCTTGGCCTTCCAAGTAGCTGTAACTACAGGTGCGTGCTACCATGCCTGGCTAATTTTTGATTTATTGTGGAGATGAGGTCTCGCCAAGTTGCCCAGGTGAGTCTTGAACCCACAGGCTCAGACAATCCACTCACCTCAGCCTCCCAAGGCGCAGGATTACAGGCTGAGCCACTAAGCCTGGCCCTTTCATTCTTTTGTTGGAATATTTTTAGAGAGTATTTGATGCTTGGATGGGTACCAACCAGCTTATATCTATGTGACAATGATCTAGAGTAATATTGTCAAACACAGGAAGTAAAGAAGGAGGATCAAAGAGAGGCAGACCCCCTCCCCATCCCCCCATGAACCACAGAAATAACCCTAAGCTCACTTATCCTAAGGCTTCCTGTTATGTGAGATAATATACATTCACAATATTAACGCCACTGTTTTTCAGGTTTTCTATGACTTGCAGTCAAATACATCCTAGATGATACCTACTTTTTACCATGGCTCAAGTTCCTCAGATTTATCCAATTGCTTTCTTCCAGAATGAGAAGGATGATGTTCTGGGAATGAATGTTGTCATCAGAGGAGGTGAGATTCCAATGGCATATACTCTATTTCACAATTTTTAAGATGAGTGGCATTGTGTAGCCATGATCATAGGCAGTCAAAGAGGCCTATAGGCTTTGCCTCTTAATGTCAGAGTCATTTAACAGACAATGGCTGTGCAGAAGTTGTGATGATAGGAAACTTGGTGGCAATATCCCCAGGAGAGCTGCATTGATTCCTGAGTGGAATACTAACTTCCAATGACTATGATCCACAGAAAATAAAAGCCTGAGCCAAAGATACTTGAAATAATATGTATTAATATAGTTCCATCATAAATAATACATACTATTAATATGGCTTTAAATAATGTATAATGCTAGATTTGCATAATAAATAATACATAAATATGTAATCATCCCATGAAATCATATAAAATTAGTACTCATGAAGAAAACTTAACCTATTAACATGCTATGAGAGGAAAGGCTTGCAAGTAGCTTGGAGGCCTTAATCAGTGCTGCTGCAAAATATTGTGGCTGAAAGAAACATCAGCCATGTATAAAAGATTTGATCTTTATATCTTATGGCCAAAGAATAGGAGCTGGTAACAGACTCCATTGTATAGTTAATAAAGAGTTTCCTTTGGTCTGTAAAGATAGCATCACTTAAAAAACAAACAAACAAGCAAGACAAAACTCTAATCCATCACTGATTGAAACACTATAGAAGAGTTATTTCCTAAAATGATGCAATGCAAACCATTATCACTGGCTCTTTCAACCCTTCCACTTTTCCAGAAATTCACTTGAGTTGTCTTGTTTAATCCTTCTAGTAACTTTAGGAGGTAGACAGCATTATTCTCATTTTCCAGCTCAAGGTCACACAGCTAGTTGGTGGTAGGGACAGGTACATAGCTCTTCTGAAAACAAAGTCTATTGTTCTTCCACTACAATACACTACCCTGTCTCTCATTTGTAATGTAGCTCTTCACTGTGAATCAAGAGCATGGATATTTTATATCTCAAATTCAGCAAACCACTGAAGAATATTTCCTGTGTGCTTAACACTATGCTAGTCATCTCATGTAGGTGATGTTATTTGTCCCCCACGATAATCTTATTAAGTATTTTGTCCTCATTTTACAGATTAGTAAACCAAGACTCAGAAAAATGAAGTCACGTGCCCAAAGCCTCAGAGTGTAAGGCAAAAACTGAGTCTCATGATTCTGGACCATGTCACACTGTATCTCTGGTGAAGGGTGATGAAATATGACCTCTTGTTTTAATACCAGGCTCTCAAGTCCTTCCCCAAAGCACAGACCCAAGTCCCAAGTTCCTTTAGAGTATTGACCCCTAAGGGTACCTGCATAATGAATATTTTTGTCTGCCTAACCCTGAATTGTACCCCACATATTCAAAATTTTAAAAAAATAGAGTGTTGACCCCTGCCTGGTAATATGAACTGCTTTCTTTTGGTATAAGAAAGGTAATGTTCTAGGAATAGAGCTTGTCGTTAAGAGATTTGGGGCAAACTTTGTCCTTCACCAATATTTAAAGAGCTAGCACTATGAGCAGCCTTAAGTACATGAATAAGTAGCCAAGCCCACACAGGGGACTTTAACAAACACCCAAATTCTTGAGTCCTTTTAGCCCCACCCCTCCACAGTGAACAATTGGTGAAAAGTCTCTATTCCTCTGGCAATCACATTCTTGGAAACTGTGCTTTGAGATCACTTCTTCTGGGAAAGACATAACCTGCTGAAGAGGTACTGAGAAAGGTTGAAACCATAAATGTCGAGCCTACCCAGGAGAGTAAACGTAAACCACTTGCATCTTTCTGGCTGAATTATAGCTTATCAAGCACACATTAAACCTTTAAGCTGTTTTTTCTTTAAGTAAGAATAAATCTAAGATGACTATTCCAGCATATGTATTTGTTTTCCCTCCACTGTCTATAAACCATGTCCAAGGTGAGTATTTATAAGCCTGAACAAAAACTAGACAAACAATTCTGAGGATAAGTGACAACTATAACAGTTCATGATAAGACAGTCACAACAAAGGAAACGCTATGCATTAAGTGATTTTTCTTGCAAATTCTTTATACATATGTCAGGCTGTATGCTGGCAGAGTGAAAGAGAATAAATCAAAGAAAATACCCAGATAAGAAAAGGTTTTTAAGAAAATGCTGTCTTGTATGCATAAATCGAATAGTTATTTTAAAAATTCAGAGGCACAGCTAAGATTTCTATGGAATTTTAAACAATGAAGTTATTTAGCAATTGCACAACAATTTATATTTATGGAGCACTTTGCAATTATTTGTTCATTAAATCTTATGACATATTTGGCAAATAGACCCATACCATTAGTTAGTTTTATAGCCAAGGTAAGTGAAGCAGGGAATTGTTAAGTAACTTTCCCAAGGTCTCACAGCCAGGTGTGGGCTAGGAAAGGACCTTACTTCAGATTTCTTCTTCCCAAAATCCTGAGTTGCAGTTCCATGGTTGCGATGCTGCTGTCCCTTAGCTCCATCCTCAAAGAGGGACAGGTTGGGGGCATGCCTGAACATCTGAGGGTGAGTGGTAAAGGCAAAGCCTGCTAGCAGTAAATCTAGAAGTGTCCATGATTGGCCTTGGCATTAGCATTTCAGCAGGACTGTGAACTCCATCAGCATGGCCATGTGATGCAAACATCCATCTACAATGAAGCCTAGTGTGAGATGGCAGATTAGTCTGTTTTGCATTGCAATAAGGGAATACCTGAGACTGGGTAATTTATAAAGGAAAGAGGTTTATTTGACCTATGGTTCTGCATGGTGTTGGCACCTACTTGGCTTCTAATGAGGTCTCAGGAAGCTTACAATCATGGCGGAAGTCAGACAATGGAGCAGGCGTGACACATGACAAGAGTGAAGCAAGAGAGAAAGAGAAGGAGGTGCCAGCCTCTTCTAAACAACCAACCTTCCTGTGAACAAGAGCAAGAGCTTACCCATTACCACGAGAACAGCACCAAGCTATTCATGGGGGCTTCCCCCCCTGACCCAATAGCCTCCCACTAGGCCCCACCTCCAACACTGGCGATCACATTTTAACATGAGATTTGGAGGGGACAAACATGCAAATTCTATTAGATGGTTGTGACAGTAAATCTAAAGCTGTCGATCTCAATTCAGTCTGCAATACCTGGGGATGTGGGAAGGAACTTTAGAACAAACCAATGCTCTAGGACTAATTAAAACCATATCTCTCAAATTGGAACTTGGGCAGGGATATTTTCGAAAAGCTATTCAGGTTTTTTTGGGGGGAGGTTTGTTTGTTTGTTTGTTTGTTTTTAACACACAGCCAAGGTTGAAAACTATTGGTATAAATATCTTTTTTTTTTTTTTTGAGTTGGAGTCTCACTCTGTCACCCAGACTGGAGTGCAGTGGCTGCTCCCGGCCACCGCAGCCTCGCCTGCTGGGCTCCGGCGATCCTTCCACCTCAGCCTTCCAAGTAGCCAGAATTACAGGCGCGCACTACCACGCCCGGCTGATTTTTTGATTTATTGTAGAGATGAGGTCTCGCTGCCCAGGCGGGTCTTGAACCCGCGGGCTCAGCCTCAGCCTCCCAAAGGCGCGGGATTACAGCCTAGCCACCGAGCCCGGCATGGTATAAATATCTTTCCAGGTCTGCGGGACACGGTTGAACAGGCTGCTTATTGCACAAGGACCCCTAACTGAAGGGACCAGTGAGGACTGAGAATGAGCCCATAGACAGTGTTCCCTAATTTTAGGGTGACAATTATTCTAAAAGGCATCACCTTTGTCTGATTCCCATAAAGAAAGCCTTGGGTCATTCCCCATTTTTGGATAGGCATTGCTACATATCCTATGAATTCTGTTTTCAGTTTATTTTTATGCATTCATTAAAATTATATTTAGCATCTATCACGTGCTGGGCACTTGGTATTCACTGGAGAGGCAACGACCAAACAACTGAAGCTCTGATCTTATTGGATCCCCCAATCAGAGGATCTCCCAATGTTGAGGACTAGTGATGACACGGGGAGTGGCACAACAGTGTGGAAAGTGCTCCCACGGGGGTGAGTGCAGGAAGCTGGGGGCCTAGGAAGAGCATTCCACCCAGCCACTCAGACCTGGGACTGGGAGACCGCATGGTGAAAGTGGTGGGAGAGCTGAGACCGGAGGATGCATTCAGGTAAGAGAAAGGGGTGACATTCGGGGCTGAGTGACAGCATTTGAAGAAATGGAGACTCAAGAGAGAGACTGGGAGCTGTTGGGACGCTGACAGTGATTTGGCCTGTCCACTTGGAACATGGAGGGAATGAAGGTGGGGAAAGGGGGAAGGGAGGCTAGGTACTGCCCACTTTCCGAGGGCTGGGTTGGCCACTTGCGAGTTTCATCACTGTGCCTCACTTCTCAGTCTTACCTTCCTCCTTCCATCTGACCAGTCTCTCTCCCTCCTCACCCCGCTCCCCCTTCTTTTTAGATATGGTCCTTTTTAGAGCAGAGAACACTGAAACCACTTATACCCTACTTCCTGGAATCTATAACTCCAAGTGCTGAAAGGAAACAAAAAACTTGGAAGCAGGCAAAGGGACAAATAAGCACGGGGATGCAGATGCCATCACTTCACTTGGTGCCACCTGGTGCATCCTCACAATTGGCAGATTTCTCCCTGCTCACCCCTCTCCTTCCTGGATATGCCTGCTTTCACTTTCACAATTACAGTCACAATCCCTGGGCTGGTGGGATAGAGCGGAGTGGGAGATGGTAGTGTAGATGAAATGAGTTTGGTCGTGAGCTGATAAAATTATTGAAACTGGTGATGAACACATGAGTATTTAATAGACTAGTCCCTCTATTTCTCATTATGATTGAGATTTTCCATTATAAAAGGAAGAAAAACAAAAACTAACTTAAGATACTCTGCTACATCTCGTCTTCTTTCATTTTGCATATCATCGCCTCTAGTGACACTCTGGTTTTTTTAGAAATCTGTTTTGATTTGATTCAGTTTCGATTTTTTTTTACTTCAAAATAGTATGTTTTGGCTTTATTCACAGGGCTATTTTAAATAGTTAAATTTCCCAATTTATTAGCATGATGATGCAACTGATCAAAATTTGTCACCCCTAAAGTTTAGGAGGGTATTGTACAATATGCCTGTCCATTCCCCTCCTGTTTGGCCCCTCACAATTCTGATAGATGCCTTTTCTGCCCTTTCTACCAGGGCTACAGCAACTGTCAGCACTGAGAGACAGTCCGGCCAATATGCATCCCCTGTGAAATGAGGGCTGTTTCTCCACTTACAGATGGAAGACTTGCATTGGCAATGGGGAAATGGACATCCAGCTATTGAGCAACTTCCACCCCTGCACCTCCAAGCCTCTCCCATCCCTTTCCCACACATTAGCCTGCAGCAACTACAAAGCCCCTGCTTCTCCCTATCAGGGTCTGAGAACATATTCTTGTGAACTAGAATGGAAATTTACATGGACTTCCAAGTCAAAGGAGTCATCACCTTGTTTTATAACATCTGCCCGAAGCCACATCCTGGAGTCACAGTAAACATGTTTGCCAAGAAATGTGGCTTCTTCTGGACAGCTGTCCACTACCGGGTATCACTTTGTGTTCTACAGACTTTTTCATGTGTTCCTCCTGCTAGATGGAGCTCCCTGAGAATGGAGCGAGAGTTTTCTAAACCCTATATCTGGTATTCTATTTGACCCGTGATAGGTGATCCACGTGTTTTTGTTAAGTGGCTGAATGGCCTTATTATACTGACATTTAAGTCTATTCTCTCTAATTTGGAAGGAGTTTCTTTGGAAATACTGTCTTTGGAAATAAAGAACAAGTCCATCTCATATTCAAGCTCTCTGGCAGACAAATATGGCTATGCCATATGTATTCCAGTGGCCTCTGCTTCCCGCACAAAGTGAGTTCTGACTTGAGGCTGAGGCTGTCCGACAGAACACCATCATGCTGCCCTAACTCTTACCTCCTCCAAAGCAGTCATTTTAACAAAAAAGAGAGACAGAGAAAAATCAAACTCCTCATTTGTGCTTTTGTCAAGTTCAACAACCAACTTACTGATGAAGCATTTCTATTGTTTTGACCAGTTTCTATAGCTTCATATGGCTACAACTAAAGTCTTTGTGGCCAACTAATATACCTCCTGTGCTGTCATCTCAAAGGGCACAAGGCTGGAGTTAGTGAGAGTATATGGAAAGAGGCTTCACTACAACAGGACGATGGGGGGTGAGTTTGCTCCACACTCTATTGGTTTTGTCCCCAGGACACTTGGAAAATGGATGACGATTTGCAGCCCAGTCGGGAAGCAGACCCACCCTGCCCTGCTGTGTACCTTAGAGGGAAACAGAATAGAGAGGCAGCAGGCTCGGATCTGCCATGCTATCGAGAAGTTACTAGATTGCACAGGCATCCAGCTATAGATTTGCTTCCACTAGCATAAATCACACAAATATGACAGAACTGAACATGTGCTAAAGCCAAATGTGTATATTGTGATTCTTTTGTAATCTCCTTAGCCAAATCCTAAAACGGGAATTGTATAGCTTTTCCTCTCATTTGAAACCTTACAGTTTATTAATGGGCCTGAAAGGGGGAGGAGTCTCGAACCACTGTAGCTGAAGCATCTCTCTTCTCACTTACTCTCCCCAGCCAGTGTTCAGTATGCTCTGACCTCCAGCGGGGCGAATGGGATCACCCAGGCACTAGCTTTGCCACTGCCCAGCTGCTCATGGGAGTTCATTTTACAGAGAGAAACTGAGGCTTGGAGAATTTGCTACCACTTACTCATAGGCTTCCTTGAGCATCCAAGGTGCTCACAGATAAAAAGGCCTTTAGAACAGGCTGCCGTGAGCAAGGTGCTCAGCAAACAGAAGGTGCCCCCTCCTCCAGGCTGTTCTTGCTGAGACACTGCTTCTCTGGCATTCTGTAGACATGTCTCCTATCTTTTCTCTGTTTCCATCCTTGTCCTGGCTGCTTCTCAAGGCCATAGCCCGTGTCTCCGCTTTGTCTCGTGGCACCTTTTCTCATTAGACACTCAATAAATGCTGTTGACAGACTGGCTGGCTGCCTGACTAAGATGGCATCTTTCCACCAAGGACAAGTGTCCTTCGCTGCTTTTATTTATTACTTAATGTCAAACGGTGTCATCGGCATGAATTCATTTTCCTGAAATGCACATCAGGATTAATGAGAAAGTTAAAGAATTCAAGATTATTGGAGGGTATTGACACTAATTAGTTTCATACCACTAATAACAGGGCTTGAGTTAACATCTTACAGGTGTAGAAAGTTTTTGGGTTAAACATGTCAATCTAACCCTGATTTCTATATAAACAGCTCCAATTCTTATTACATCATTTGTATATATATTAGGAAATTTTCAACTATGGTTTCTTCCTATGTAACTTTGGGAGGAAAAAATTAAGTGTAAGGACCGTATTTTTTTTTTTTTTTGAGTTGGAGTCTCACTCTGTCGCCCAGACTGGAGTGCAGTGGCCGCTCCCGGCCACCGCAGCCTCGACCTGCTGGGCTCCGGCGATCTTTCCGCCTCAGCCTTCCGAGTAGCCGGAATTACAGGCGCACGCTACCACGCCCGGCTGATTTTTTGATTTATTGTAGAGATGAGGTCTCGCTGCCCAGGCGGGTCTCGAACCCGCGGGCTCAGGCAATCCACTCACCTCAGCCTCCCAAAGGTGCAGGATTACAGGCTGAGCCACCTAGCCCGGCTAGGACCATATTTTATACTGTTTAACAAATGGTGAGAACAAACAAACCAAAGGACTCCCTTTTTTTCTTTTTCTTTTTTTTTCGTTTGAAGATCTTCCCTCTTTTCAGCAAATTGTCAGCAGACTTTGGGATCAAAATGAAGCCATCTTTGTCCCAAACTACATTCCTCAGTATTCTTGCCTCTAGAAGGGAAAAATATATTAAAGTTCTAGCAGGTCCTTGAACAGCTTTTTCCTTAATAAATAAAAATACACATACACACACACACACACACACACGCACACACACACAAACATAGCAAATTCCATTTTATGATGCTTATGAAATGGTTCTGAATTTTAAAAGTCCATTCATTTGTCACTTCCCCCTTGCCTACCATTTTGAAATCTCCTTTACCACTGCTTTCACAGACACTTCCCAAATGCTGTCAGATGGGTTATCATAGCCTTGCACTTTTGTTCTTTTGTTAATTTTGGATAAAGTCCTAGAGTGTAGCAGTATTATTGAACTCATTTCTGCTTAGGACTCAAGTTTCCGTAGCTCCTCTATTACCAAGTGGCAGTGCACCCTATAGGCACAATAAATAAATAATACAACACTGAAGCTATAACAAATCACAAAATGCATTATTAAAAAATTAAGAAATAAATATCCCCCTCTTACTTAAATAGAGATTGATTTTATAATGTGGATTGCTGAGGAGTGCTGCTCCAAGATATATTAAAGCCTGGGGACACGGAGAATACACTGTAATGGGCATTTTGCTCCCTTGGCCGGAGGAAAAAAATCCTCAGAGTGAATGGATGTATTTGTGAAATGGAAGCTGCTATTCTCTGTTTGTTCACAAGCCAGGTATGATGCACTGCCGGCTTCATCATGTGAGGGTAGAAAGACCTGCAGGACACATCTGTCTTTCCTAAGCGCAAACTGTTAGTCTGGATGAAAGTGATGAAGACAAAAGCTTTCCTGGAACTGAAGTTGGAGCAGCACTGATTCTTTCCTTCAATTTTAAATCACAAGTCTGGCTTCCGAAAAGATGTTCTTGAACCAGGTTTCTGCCAAGCATCCTCCAAGG